GGGACTTTCCTGTGGGAATCAGCTTGGGGTTTCATGTATTTATATCTTGCCCCTCTGTCTGAAGATGGCAAGATGAGAGAGTTAACCCGGACTTTCCTGTGGGTAGCAGCTTGGAGTTTCATGTATCTATGTGTAGTTACAGCTTTAGGGTTTTATGGGCAGAATGGAGTTCTTGTGATCTAAACACAATAAGGCAAGATTAGATAACGGTTCTTTTGGTTAATTTTAAGATAGTAATTTTTTTTTACTCTATTACTACATCATGATTTTAGGGGGCAGATATGTGAGAATAGTCAAAAAATGGAGAGAGATTAGTTTTGCATAGAACCTTCATGGAAACTAAGAATGTTGGAATGTTTTTAGACAAGAGAAAAGTGAATGATATGAGCAGTCACTATTTATAGTTTAAATTAGAAAAAATTAAGAAGCTTAGTAACATTCTGCAGTCGTCAGAGCATCAAGAGATAGGTACGCTTGTACACTGCTGGTAGAACCGTAAATCAAAACGTGTATGTATTTCAACCCAGCAGTTTCCTTTCTAAAGATCCAAGTTGAAGAAACAAACTCCAACATGCTGTAGGCTGCATGAGTAATAGACTCAGTAAAAGCTGACAATGATTTAAAGTGCATGAATACAGCACTTTCATTCACATTGTATGAAACAACACCAGAAAATGAGCAGCTACATCTACTGACATGAAATGAGCAAAACCAGACTTGAAGTGGGGAGAAAATGCAACCCAACGACTGAAGGTAAGAGCCTTGTCCACGTGGGCACGTCCGTGTGCACTACGCATCCGAGACGTCCCCCCAGAAGAGGGAGTCTGCTTATCTGTGTTTACTAAATGCTTCACAATGGAAATACGTATGGATTGTGGATGGCTTTTTCACAATAAACACTTTTTGCATGTCACAGAGAGTCAAGAGACTCTGTTGAACACTTTTTCTCCTAGAATCAGACAAGAAGGTCAGGATGGAGACTGAAAGAAGCTCGTTATTACGGCACTAGCAATCTCTGGCTTGTCTGAGATAAAATGTAATAGAGAATATCATTAGCTATTTTCAGAAAATGTGCAGAAGTCCACAGCTATTTCTCCTTTCATCTACAGGAAACATACAGTTCTCATCTAAATCAGTTTGAAGAAATCAGGTGACAGTTTCTTATGTGAAAAGAAAGTGGCTCTAGATGGTTCATAGTAAACTACCCTCAACTAAAGAAATCACAATTAAAACTGTTAAATAAATAGAAAACTGAAAAGGCTGCAGTCTAAATGTTAATCAGATCTCAAATGAAACCAGCACCTTCCACTGTGCTATTGGCCCTCCATCCCCGAGAGCTCTGTATCTGCAGTTCCAACCAACTGTGGATCTAAAAATACTCAAACACAACAAAAGAAACCTCAACTCAACAAACAAAAACCCTTCATACATTAAAAAATACAGTATAACAACTATTCACATAGCGTTTATACTGATTAGGGATAAGGACTCTAGAGAGCATTTGAAGTCTACACAGGGATGTGCACAGGGTGCTTGCTAACATCAACCCACTTTATAGAAGGGGCTGCTGCACTCGTGGATTACGGCACCTGCTGGGTGGTCCTGGACCAATTTCCTGAGGTTGTTAAGGAACAAGTTTATTTGTAAATCGAAGCTTTTGTAATAACGACTTTGCACACTTGTATGTATCTGCTTCAGACTTTTGAGATTTTTCTGCTAACAGAACAAAGGCATTTTACTATAGACGTAACAAACTGAATTCTGAAGTGATTACCAAATGCACCTGAATGTGTCTTCTGGTCTCTGGCCAATTTTAAGTTTCCTTGTGGCCAGCCATTCTCATCCAATTCTTACAAATTATGTGAAAACACTCATAGGACAAAATAATCTCTATAATTCACTAAACAAATGTTATGTGAGAAAAATAATACCATCAATGGCACACATAACACAACTTTAAGTTGTATTTCTAAAAATTAAAAAATAAGAATAAATTCATAATTGCCAGTGTCTATGTTGAAATTGTTTACTCACTTTTTTTTTAATTAGACTTGGTAAACGTTCATTAGTATTAGCTGCAGGGAACAATGATTCATCAACGTGTACTCCAGCTGTCCTGCATCTGTATAATTAAAGGAGTCTGATGAATGTTTGTATACAGACTTACATAGCATTAAATCTGCACATGTATCAGCAATTTAAAAAATTTGTACATAGGTTATTTTAACATAAGTATATAATACCAAAGTCAATATAAATTCAATTTAATCATCAGAGAAATGCAAATCAAAACCACCCCATGATATCACCTAACCCCAGTGAGAATGGCCCACATCACACAGTCTCAAAGCTGCAGAAGAGAACACTTTCACACTGCTGGTGGGACTGCAAAGCAATGCAACCTTTTAAAAAAGAAGTATGGAGAATCCTCAAAGAACTCAAATTACACCTTTCATTTGATCCTACAGTCTCATTCCTAGGCATCTACCCAGAAGGAAATAAATCCTTTTATCATAAGGACATTTTGCATTAGACTGTTTATCACAGTGAATTTACAATTACCAAAATGTAGAAACAACCTAAATACTCACCAACACAGGAATGGATTAACAAACTGTGATATATGTTTACCATGCAATACTATTCAGCCACTAAAAAAGATGGAGACTTTACATCTTTTGTTATTAACCTGGATTGGAGTGGAATGTATTCTTTGTAAAGCATCATAGGAATGGACACACAAGAAACTAACGTACTCAATTCATAATATGAAGGCAGTAGATGATCTAATGCAAGGTGGGGGGTAGGAAGGAGCAGGATGGGGAGGAGGGAAGGGGATGAGGACAGTGTATGGCACACCTCTTAGGGGTGGGACTTTACCTAACAAATGCAATAGGGGTAACCTAACTCTTTGTACCCTCAATGAATCCCAAACAGTAAAAAAAAATTCATACATAGGTCATTTTAATAGACACTTGTTTTAAAATAAATATACAATAGCAAAGTCAAAATAAATTCAATTTCCCAAAACTGTCTCTACATGGTGCTTTTTATGTAACGATTTTTGACTTACAGCATATTACAAAATTATTGGTGCCTAGTACTCATAAAGGTATAAGCAAATGCTATTCCATGTTTAACTTAAAGACTAAAGAGGCCAAAACATGGATAATGGAGAAATGGACGCAAACCAAAGAAACTGAGGCCACAGAGTCATCTCACCTCCAAACTTTGACTGCCCTTTTTGTTTATTTCTGTCAAGAAACGTCACCGGCCCAGAGAACACAGTGTGCACGGAGCTCTGCACAGCCCTGGCTCCTCTGCCACCCATCTGCGGTCAGACCAGCCATTTCTTCCCTCAATCTACTGCTTACTCACTCTTAGTATCTTTGGATTCTCTCCACCATTATCTCCTTCTAAGCTTACAGTGCCTCAAATCTAAACAGTTACAATTTTTTAAAAGCTTTTCCCCCTCTATTGTTTCTCCTACTCTAATTTATTATGTTATTGAAATATATCTTAAAACATTTTACTCGTGTCCCCAGTCCAGATCAAAAATCTTCCATTACTCTCATGGTCACAGAACAATTGACCTGCCTGCTGTCTGACTCTAACAAGCCCCCCCCACTACCTCTCTATCTTTCATGCAAACAGTTATTTGAAAAAATAATTAAAATACAGTACAAAGGCCGGGTGTGGTGCTATAATCCCAGCACTCTAGGAGGCTGTGGCAGGTGAATTGCTTGAGCTCAGGAATTTGAGATCAGTCTGAGAAACAGTGAGATGAGACCCTGTCTATAAAAACAGCCAGGCACCTGTAGTCCCAGCTCCTTTGAGAGGCTGAAGCAAAAAGATCACTTGAGCCCAAGAGTTTGAGGTTGCTGTGAACTATGATGCCTCAGCACTCTACCCAGGGTGACAAAGTGAGATTCTGTCTCAAAAAATTAAAAAGAAATAAATATGGTGTAATAAAAATACATACTCATGTTGATATGGAAAGCTCTTTAAAATATATTAAGAAGAAAAAGGAAGTTTTCATGTGTATAGTATAATACAGTCTATGCAATATGGTAAATGACACCAGGGTAGCCAACCTCACAGGGTATTCAGAAGACCCTTGACTCCCTGACACACTTGACAGCATTCTCTTAAGTACACAGTAGAGTTTTTAGAAGCTAAATGACACAGGCTATCCCAAAACATTCAGTGCAAAAGCAAAAATGAAAATGTAACTGGATTCTGCTAAGACATAAAAGAAATTTGTAAAAATGTGAAAAAAAGAATACAGTACAGTAATTGTAATGAGGTCAGAAAAGAAACAAAAGGGCGCATAACAGATACTAGAGGAATCAAATAAAGATTCAGGTCAGAGATGATCACCAGACTCAGTTCCGATCTTCACGTGGAATCAGAGCGTGGACTACATGATGGTGGAGCAAACAGCATGACGGTCCCAGGAAACCCACAGTTTGCAACACTGAGTAGATTAATGGGAGTTAGATGACAAAGGAAGGACTCAGGTCATCCTAAGGGCTGTATCCTGGGCCCCACTGTGTGGGCTCTGGGCTAGAAGTGCGAAGGAGCCGCCAGGGACATGTCGCTGTCCAGGGAGCAGGGCACAGAGGGCAAGCAGACTGGTCAGGGGCCACGGGAGCAACTGAGGTGGGAGACTCCAGAGATTTCAGCAGAGGCAGTGGGGCGGGGATCCTTAATCTAGCAATACGTAGGCAGTAAAAACACAAAGTTCTTGACCTCTGACAAATTCTGGTAGGGTGAGCACATGCTTTTTTCTTGCTTCACAAAATTCAATAAAATGACATTTAAGGAAAACACAGAGACATAAACCAACAAAAAGAGTAGATAAGAGTTGTCTGGGGAACTGAAAAAAATCAAACAAATGAAGAAAAAGGAAACTCAAGCCTGGCAGGAAGAACAGAGGAGTCAGGAAGGCACCACAAGACTATGCCACTCAGGAGCCAGAGGCACACGGCAGGCAGAGGAGCCAGTGGGCACAGGGCAGTGCCCCCCTCATCTCTGCCACTCATTGCTACCAAAGTGGGGTGCTGGATTGCTGTTCAGACAGCCAGGGTCTGAGAATCTTTGGACTTGAAGGACCAGGCCAAGATTAGGGAAAACAAAGTGTCACAAAAGGAAATGTATCCAATTTACATCATGACACTCTGCTCACACAACTTCCACAGTTGTAATGAGGTAAATACAACTACTGATTTAACTAAGATTTATACGTGCATTTTGGTAAGCAGTGGAAAAAGTATGAATGTATCTGAGCAAACAGCTGATGCGTGTACATGAGATGGGGAGCCCCAAGTGGGGCCAGTGACCTCACTTCCCAGCAAAGAGTCATCAGATCATGTCCCAAACTGGAATGTCGTGACAGCAGTATGGCCACAATATCTAGAAATATAGAGTGAGTGAACAGCTGCAGAAACAGCTGACTGTGTATCTCAGAAAGGGCTGCTTCTGCAAAGCAGGAATTGGGGGTGAAAGGCTCAGAAAGGACCAAAGTTATTCACGATAAGCCTTGTAATATCTGGTTCTTCTCTCTACTTTGCGCTGTGTGCTGTGTATGTGCACATCCATATAACGGAATCTTATTCCATCATAAAAAGGACTGAAATTCTGACACAGGTAGCAACGAGAATGGACCTTGAAAACATCATTCTAGGGGAAAGGAGACTGGCAAGAGGCCATGCATCATGTGATTCCATTAATATAAAATGTCTAGAATAAGAAAAACCCCAGAGACAGAGAATAGATGAGTGGTTGCCTGGGACTGGGGTGGAGGGGAACACGGGGAATGAGGACTAAAGGTTTCGTTATGAGGTCCTGAAAATGTTTTAAAATTTGGTGATGGTTGCACAACTCTGCGAATATGGTCAGTGAGGTACCACATATACAATGATGGTCCCATAAGATATTATAATAATGGAGCCTAAAACTTCCTAGTGCCTAAGAAGTTGATAATCTCGACCATGTGCAGGTCTAGGCTAATGTGTGGCCTTGGATGGCTAAAATTCCACTGTATTCAGTACAGTGACATGCTGCAGGACATGCTGGTGTTTTAGTTTCTAATAAAAAAGCTTATTTTTTTTGAGACAGAGTTTCATTTTGTCACCCTCAGTAGAGTGCTGCTGCATCACAGCTCACAGCAACCTCCAATTCTTGTGTTCAAGCGATTCTCTTGCCTCAGCCTACCAAGTAGCTGGGACTACAGATGCCCACCACAATGCCTGGCTCAGGCTGATCTTGAACCTGTGATCTTAGGCAATCCACCCATCTTGGCCTCCCAAGTGCTAGGATTACAGGCTTGAGCCACTGTGGCCATCCCAAAAAAGTTTAAAGAGTAAAAACATAAGAAATTTTAAAAGTAGAAAAAAGCTTATTTATTATATAACAAAGACATAAAGAAAATATATTTGTACAATTATAAAATGTGTTGTAAGCTAAGCATTATTACAAAAAGGTCAAAAAATTTAAAAAAAATTTAAAAGTTTATAAAGAAGTCAATTTATTATTAAAGAAATTGTTCTTGCAAATCTAGTGTAGCCTAAGTGTTGGGTATTTATAAAGTCTACAGTGGTGCACGGCACTGTCTCTGGCCTTCACCGTCACTCACCACTTACCCACTGATACACCCAGAGCTCCTGTAAGCTCCAGTCACGGTAAGTAGACAACTGTACCACTGTTGAGCTTTTCTATCTTATTTGTACTGTACCTCTTCTATGTTTAGTTATGTTTAGATACAGACGCTTGTGTTATAACTGCCCACAGTATTCAGTACAGTGACATGCTGCAGGACATGTGAGCGACAGGCTCAGTACCACATGGCCTAGGAGGCAAAGGACAGTATCATCCAGGCTTGTGTCAGCACACGCCACCATGTTGTGCACAATGGAGAACTGCCTAAGGACAAGTTTCTTAGACCATATCCCTGTTAAGTGACAAAAGACTATTTAAAACCATCGAATTATACGCTTAAATGGGCAAATATAGTATATATGAGCATTAGATCTGAAGACAATGTCACAAAACCCCCCACAAAGATACTACTACATATCCACTTGGATGGCTAAAATTCCAAATATGGACAAATTCCAACTG